ATATATATATATATATATATACTATATATATATATATATATATATATATATATATATATATATATATATATATATATATATATATATATATATATATATATATATATATATATATATATATATATATATATATATATTTATGTATATAGATATATATATATGTATATATATATATAATCTGGCTGCGTGTGTGTCGTCAGCTTGCATGATGGTTTGTGGGTGGGTGTGATGGGTGTCTGTTCTGTGGATGGGTTAAGAGCGTGTTAGTCACACAGTTAGTTGGCCACTTAAAAGGTATTGCCACAGCTTCAATAATAACGGCTCTACCGGTTAGTATACCGTTGTGCTCTTGGTTGCTTAGATACGCGCATGTTATTCTCAGTCGTAGCTGACACAGAGGCACGTACGTCCATAGTTACTCATAGATGGTACATAACGTATTGCCTGTATAGACACCGTCCACCGACGGAATGGCCTGGCCCATATTCGGAGGCCATACACGGCTCTGCAAACACTGGCTGTAAACGTTAACATTACGCGTTAGCATCCTAAACACACATCTGTTCGGTCCATATGATCTGATTGGCGTTCCTCGAACCGTGCAGGTAACGAGCTGAAGGAAGCTCTGGGGATGATCACCAGCAGCACTAACGTGCCTCCCTATTACGAGAACATGCTCATGTATGGCTATCCCCCCGCGTACATCACCACCTCTGAGCGTTTCAGGCGTGAGCAGGCTGGAGCGGAGCAGTTACGCAAAGACATCGCAAACACCACCATCACCATACACCTGGGGATTGATTCGGATTCGGATGGTGATGCCAATGTAGCTGACCAACCCGCAAGCTTGTGCACTAATACTAACGGTGTGGAGTCGGTGACAGATGTGCCTGTCACGGGCAGTGAGGTTGTTGATAATGGTAATAAACCTCAACGGATTGCCAGTACCAGAACATCGGCCAGCCAATTGAGAGGCCTGGATGTATCGCCGAGTCGTATGGATCTGAGTGAGAATGAGGATATGGATGTGCTAGCAAGTGTTAATATGGACATGAGCGATAGTGAGAGCGAGTCTGAGCTGGAGACAAGGTCAGAGACTGTGGTAGAGGGACGGGTGGAGGCAATTGCGACCACACCCACACCGGACGATACGGTGGGAGGTAGGCAAGTATCAGAGCTCACCACTATACCGACAACCACACCGGGAGACTCAGCCGTGGCCAAGGCATCAGAGAGGGTGGATACGATTGTTGGGGCGTCAGAGGGGGTGGATACGATGGCACAGCCGCCAGCGGACGGCATCGACGCGTCACAGAGAAACCAGATCACCAACGAATATCCGCATGCGTACGCGCGTGCGAATGAACTAGCGCTCGGGAACCGATACTTTGACAGGCTGGTCGAGTTTGGGCGGACGGAGAAACCGGCGCACCACATGTATGCGTACATGGGACTAAACACGCCACCTCACAGCATCGAAGAGATGGTGGACTATCCATGGAACCCATACTCGCCTTACTTTGATGTGGAGAAGGAACAGTGGAAGCAAAGTCAGGTGTGTCCTTAGTTCGATATGGATGTGGACGTCCTTACATGTGTGCGTGGGAATTGTGTACCGTTGTGATATAGGTGAATACAATCAGACGTCGGTATACACCTATTTATCGATTGATCGACGGCAGTTCTAGTTCGCACACATGTGTCGTATTGGTGTATATATGACCACTGTATGACTAATATCCTTTTATGCATATTGTGTGCCTGACTTGGTATTCATTTGTGTATCTGTAACTGGACGTCTCGCACAAATATGTGCACTTATGCGTCTATGTTGCTCAAATGATTCATCAGCTGCCCTGGATTGTCCATTCACTTATCATTGGGACCCTCCCACCGGCCGCTGTCAGCACCTGTCGAGTGCGTACTACTATTTGTTGTAGATAATCGTGCCATTCAAGCCTACGCCATCGTCCTCTGAATTTAAATTCATGCATCCCTTGTGTACTTCTGTAGCTCTGAGTGGTGTGTAAACGCACTGTACCTACATACCCTCATGCAATTGGTACGTACACACTCTACCTATTCTCCTGAGCACTATATTCATGTATGCATATGTACGCATCTATCTCACTGTGTGCCTCGCCATGTGTGCTGAAGGCAATTGCACGAATATGTCCACCAACACCTCAACGCATAGGTTACCTGTATCGCAACCTGTTATTTTCCACATATATACCAGCATGTCTATATACACAACCACATAGCCTTTCTTGCTTGGACCTATCTGGACACCCAACCAACTTCCAACACAACCTTATCCCCATCGCCAGGTGTTCTACTTCTGGCGCCAGAAGGCCATGCGCGACAACGCGACCTCCGGAGTGACTACCGACTATCCCCACCCCCGCATGTACCACCCAACAACAGCCAACACACACACCCCGCAAGGCATACTACCCCAACCACACCCACCCACCCACCCTCTGTTGCAACAGTACTCACCATATGCGCACACAGCCTCAGCCTCAGTGTTCGGCTCCGTTTCATGCGCAGACGTGACGTGTGTGGCCCAGCACGCTGGTCCGGGTGTGGCATATGGGGGTGCGGGCTATGGGGGGTATCCCATTCCACGCGCTGCAGTACAAGGCGGCTACTATGCTCAGGTAACTAGCCAGGTGGGGTGCTTGACAGTCGCACTTTGTTCGTTATTGGTATACCTGTTGAGTGGATTGTGTAGGTGTCTGCGTGGTGGTCGTCTATTGGTAGCGTGTGGCATTCACCTAGACCTCACAACGTGTGCAACATCCATGACACGGCGGATGAGAGTCTCGATGAATCAGTTGATTGTGGAATTGTTTTGATCAATTGACTGTGATTACGGGGATCCGGGTACAAATGGATTAGATCAGAATGGGTGTACCAGTCTGATGTTGCCTTACTATTTGGGGGTAGAATGGGCGATGCAGTTATATTGCAAGGTGAAAGTCTACGCAACGAATCTTATTGACACACCATTGTTGACGATTACTTTAATCGTAAAATCTCTCTAGGTCGGCTACGTCTGTTCTCGTGTGCAGATATGGGCTTACTACTAAATAGACAACTTATATATATATATATATATATATGTGTGTGTGTGTGTGTGTGTGTGTTGTGTCTCTGTGTTAGTGTATATGTCGCCTATGTGTG